TGTATACCTATGCAGAATTCTTGGTTCTTTAAAACGCGCGTTTAAAAACGCCTAATGTGTACACAGCCTAAATAATCCTGAATTTTATTCATATACATATACAATATACGTCTCTTTAATCCGATATGTATGAACGAATAAACAGTTATCATAACAGATATTTGACTGAATTTTATTGTTGCTTCCCATACTTTTCCTTCGTGATAAAGTTCATTTATTTATTATAAAATCACAAAAATTACTTATAAAAATTTAAATATAATCAATAATTTTAAATAAATTTTATACTTTAATTCAGTATTTCAAAAGTAAAGAGTATTTTTTTTTTACTCTTTTTACGCTATGGGCTCTAAGAGGGCTTTTTTTTCAGGCCCAACACGGGTTCGGCAGCCCCACAATGGGGCGCACGGGTTATGATGGACGTGGTCCGATATATCTGGGTGTTTCTCGACAGGTTGATTTGATTCCGGGCCCTCTAGAGAAGTAAGCCTCCCGGGAAGCATCCCGGGAGGACTTTTTATCCACTCACTACTAGTATACAAGTAGGCCTCAGGCCTTAATCTGCTCCACCAATGAAAATAATTATGACTTTTGTAAAATTCTTAATGAGATTTTCTCCTTTGATACAGTTTGCAAATTATAGACATTAGTCATAAATAAATGAGAATAACCTTGAATATTTCTCAATTAATTATTATTTTTTTCTCCTCAATAAAATTACGAAATGGTATGTGGAAAATGCGGTAGTAGATATTATTTTTGCAATTTGTAAAGTATTTTTTCCTAATATTAAAGCAATAAATTAAAATTGCTTTTTAAATTAAAATTTGTTAAAGAATTAATTCTTAACTTAAATTTATTATAATAATTTGTACAGAAAATCGTCTTTCTGTGAATTAAATCAAACAGCAAACATCTATATAACGTTACATAGTGTAATACAATATAATGTTACGTGTTTTATATAAAGACCCACAACAATTGAATGCCATATGCGTGTGTATGTAAGTGTATACAGGTCAAGATTGAGGGAAGCCATTATGGCCCTGGTATACAGAGGAACTAAAATTTTATCTTAATGTAAAAAATACATGATAAAAAATTATATAAATTATGTTTATTATGAAAAACAGTAAAAAAAACACACATCTATTTTTAAGGTTTTTAGAGAGACGTGAGTCAACCAACATACGTGCCTTATCTTCTTCATCTCAGACTCTGTGTTATTTGTGTTTTTATAATTCAATATATTATGTATTTTATATAATATACATTTACATTCATTTATTTAATATGAAATTACGGATGTAGAATACAGTAGCGTAAGGTATCATGTCTGTGTTTCCACCTTATCTAACCATGTCGCAAAAACTAACTTCTTATCACTTCCAATTTTTTTTGTTTTGAAATGATAACGCCTCTTCCATTTAATTTTAGTTAATATTATAAATAATAATGCGAAGGGATGTGGGATTCCCATCCTTTTCCGAAATCTATAATAATATACGAATAAAAGCAAATTTTCCATCACTTGTCACATATTTTTACATAAAATATTGAAGGTTGAGATCCTTTCTACTCGGAGAGTAAGCATCCATCTTTAATGATTTCCGAGATATTTAATAATTTATTGAGAAAAATATAACCTGATTTAAATTTAGTATGAAAGTGTACCGTACCTAGAACCCCAAGGCAATCTTGAACATTTCAATATCCTGTTCGGAATTAGAAGCACGCATGGATTGGCTAACTTACTAGCAAGTTAATTATAAGTTATTAATATAAAATCCTTGATTCCACGCATAAATTTTAAATCTTATCCAAATCTTCCTGAACATCTTTCCATGATAAACAGTTGGGTGCCATTGAAATAGTCTCTGAGAGCTTTTCTGAAGTCTTTCACTGTTGTAAAGAGTTGAGAAGTTTATTAATTTCACTACATTTTTTTTATTATTATCAAAAGTTGTTAAGTTTGAACTTTGAAGAGGATCCACATTCTATCCTCTATCCATTGAATTAATGGTTGAAATATCCTAACAAATCTTAATGCAAGGAGCTTTATGGCCACCGTATATATTCAAAAATGCTTATTACTTTATTTGCTGTTATATATAACAAAGGGTAAGTATGGCGACTCCCCCCAAGATTTTTACATTTTTTGAACTCAGAGGATCTTGAAATGTCGAGAAATGCAAAAAAGTTGAGAATTTGTTCTGTAGGTATGGATGTTAATGTGTTTATGTGTGTTTGGCAGTTTTCTTTACCCACTTTGAAGCTTAATAACTCCAGTGCCTTTTGTCGAAAATTTCTGAAATTTTGCACGGAGCTTTGCGTATTACGGACATTGATGCTGTTAAATTTTCGTAGTGAAAGGTCACGGGAGTGGGGAGATAGAGGGGTCATATGCCATATTTCGAGTGGGTCGAACTTAATGAAGATTTTATTCGTTATTAGCATTTACGATATTTTTAAAAATAAAATTTATTTCTACCCTCAAAATTAATCATTTTGTATTTTATAATAATTAATAAAATAAAATAGTTTTAAAAATAAAATCTCATAACAGATGGCGCCACATACAAGTTTAAAGTTTGGTCGGGAAAGTTACGCAACTCGTTACAGGATTTTTTAAAATTAATATAGGTATGAAATGTCAAACAAGCCATATAATGAAAATATACATATTGTAAAATCTCATAATAATTAGAATATTTTTAATGTATAAAAGTATTTACACTCGTTTTTTGTACTACGATATTTAAGTTATAATTTAAGTATTACTTTAAATGTTAACAAGTTCAAATTAATATTTATTTTTAAAAAATATCTAAATTATTTGTAATAAAAATTTATTGAGTCTTCCTTACTCTAACTGNAAGTTTGATCTAAGTTCATTTTTTTAAGTTTAGTTACTAAAATGGGATTATAGAAATATATGAATAAAATAAATAAAATAAAGAAAAAAACTAATTTGTTTATAAATATTTTTGCTTTGTTTATATATTTATCAAAAAATACTTTAATTTGAATTATATTTTTTAATGTAAGCGACCAATTTTTGGGAATATTCTGGGTCAGGTGTCTAACAAAATGACCTTTCTCTCTACATATATGATTTGGAAAGTCATATACAGCCAGGGTTGGACTCAGATTTGTTCTAGCTCTAAGCTGTAACATATAACACGTCCATAACCCAATAAGTTAATGAGGTATGTAAAAATATGAGGCCCTAAGCTGTAGCTTGTTTAGCTTAAGTGCAAATAGGCTCTTCGTTTGGCAGTAGAATCTTCCATATTTTATCAATAGTTTATCTTTACATAAAACAAGTAAGTTTTAATTAAATGTGTTTCGCTCTTTAAATTGTAATTTAGATTTTCAGTTTTTTTATGTACTGTACATTCTCTTATAGTAAGTCTACGGGACTATACCAAATGCGTAAACATCACTAAAGAGATTTTTGTAGTAAGGAACCATTCATAAATTACGTGTACAGTTTAAGGGAAAGGGGATTACGATAAGTACATTATTGTACACAAAGGGCAGTGGTGCATTACTGCTTCATGGAGCCCAGGCGAATTTGAATTATAGACCCCATGTACAGTACAGCGTTGCTTTGCCCCTATTATTGGGAACCCTAGGCAATTGCTCTTTTTGCTCATAGGATAACGTGCCGCTGACAATGGGGAGGAAGAGAGTCGAGACATTTTTTTAGTAGTATCATTGCACACGAATTGTTCTTTTAAGCCTACTTACTTGTCACGTGAATAAACTATCAGTTAAAAAAATTCTGCAAATATTTTCTAAGTCATTTTTTAAAAATTAGGCCGGTTCCATGAACTATTTTACACGGAATTAAAGGGAAGGAGGTTTGCCAAAGTTACACCATTGTACACAACAGAGTGGGATGGAGTGAAAATGGCTCGAAAAGGAGGGCATGAAGATGTCATACATCTTTAAGTCTTGTTTTTAGATCTTTTTCACAAATTTTGTCTCAAAAATTTTAATATTCATAGAAAACTTAACTATTCTACAAAGGTTCTTAGTAGGAAATCATGTTAAATTTGAATTTTACTTTAAGAATAGAGCCGCCATTAAGTTCTAGAACGTCTTTTAGATAATTCTTCGTGTATTTTGCCTTTTTCTAGAGGAATTTTTAAGGGTATCATCTGATTTTTATAGTAAATGGCGTAAAAACGGCACTTATGATAATTAAACTAGTTTAAAAAGTATTAATAATAAAATATGTATTTAAAAAAATCGATCTTTCTCTTGCAATCCTCATTAATTGATAAAGACTAAAATAGGATTCTCCTTCACTCGATTTTCCTAGAAAATCGTAAATATTCATTCAAAAATAACCTACATGTCACATGACCGGTGACGTCACGTGCGCAGGAAACGAATGATAAAATTTCATACTATTAAATCGTAAAAATACATTGAAATAATCGATATTTATTACGTAATAAATTAAAATAAAATAATCGTAACTAATGTTACAGTAATTACACGAATGTAATAATCGGATGTAATAATTTGCAAATTTCACAACCGTACGATGTTAATGACGCAATCGTCGAAACAATAACAACTAAATTCGGTTTATGATAATTAATTCAAATTTAAATAAATCGATGAATAATAATAAAATTAAATCAGCGTCCGAAATAATCCGAAGGAAATGAAGTGACGTAAACAAAAATAATTTTAAAAAAATTCCTAAAAATAGCACATGGCAATCACGTGATTTACGGAAGAGAAACGTTCCTGCGCGGAACCGTCCGCTCTTTCGACTTCTTCCGATGTGCCTGGAGAGGGTAAGTTGTGCTATATTATTTCGTCACACTTTTTTTTATATTTAAATAAATCTTATGTCGTCGCTTCCGATCGAATAAATAACGATTACGTTAATCTTTAATTAATTAAAATGTCCCCGTCGTCCTAAGTAGAGGGACGAGCTGCACCTGCTCCACCTCTCACTTTTAATCAATTAAACAAGAGTATTTATTTAACGAATAATTAATTAATACACTAGAAATTATTCGTGGAAGCAAAAAGTTGATTTTTAAATATTCTAGAGAATTTATTGCATAATAAACATTTAAGTATAAATTTACGTTCACTTCGGAATCACGATTCGTCTAAAGGGCAAGTAGTCACGTGATTAGTTGTTTACCCTTTCGCGGTTCCCCCCGCGAACGTAAATTGTGGTGAGTGAGCTTGTTCATTTTTTTTCCGTTTTATTGCATTTTATCCAGTTAATTATACGTATTAATATTAATAACGCGTAAACTTATACCCAAATGAACCGCTAAAGAGTTGTTTTTAAAGTTCTGGCACATGTTACTAATAGAAAATATTTATTAAGTAAATTGTTTATTAATGTTTATTAATTATCCATTTTTACTAAATTAAGATTTAAGGAATTTTTCTCTTCCAAGATATTTCCATTAGTGAAATGACGTAGAATAAAATCTAATTTACTTGTGGGTGGATAACCTTAGCTTAAGCAAATTCTATTTTTTCTTAAGGTTTATTTAATTAGAATTTATATTTAAATTTTGTTTTTTGCTATTTTTTAAAGTAACTTTACTTTTAACCAGTGGCACACCCAGAGGGAGCCAAGGAGCCATAACACCCCAAAGTAAAAAGAAAAAATCTTTTCCCAATTAAAATTCATTTTTTTATTTATATTGTGTGGTGTCTTCTATTTCTACATACTTTATCCTGAGTGTACCACTGCTTTAAACATTCCAAAAAAATGTTACTTAATTTTAGAATCTAATCTCATTTATAGAAAAAAAAAAAAAAAAAAAAAGATACCTTTANAGGTAGAAGAGCATCTAGGTAGCCCCAATGACGGTACTTCCAAGACTATGGCATTTAATTATTTAGCCCACGTGACTATGTCAGCTTCGAGTAGCCCACTTGACTATTTGTGGAGTACTTGATGTTATATAGCAGGTGGGCAAGCAAGAGTTCAGTGGGAGCCGAAATGTAAGTTTTGCAAAAATGCATGGGAGCCGCAGTTCTGTACTTTTTTATTCTGTACTGCGATTTTATTATATAATATAAATATAATATAAAACAAATATTGAAGTTTTTAATAAACATATTTTCACAAAATTGTGGAAATAAAATTGTAAAAATAATAATAAAAAGCAGAAATTAACACTTTCACAAGAGCCACATTTCCCCATGTCTGTTATATAATTTTAGGGGGGTGTAGGGGATTGCCACACCTGAGTGCTGAGGTTTGAGGGATAGTGAGCACTGAGGTGCGCGTCTATGTGCGTGCATGCAGAATAGGCAGTAGACTGATATGTGTTCAAAACTGACCTTTGCACCATAGGGTATACCTAAGTGCAATTTTACCAAAAAAAGTTTTATAGGAATTATCTTGGATATATTACTTATCCAACTTTCTACAAAACTTACTTAAATAAGATGCCATGTAATACCTGAATTTGCTAAATAATTTATATTCATTTTTAATGAAATATCTACTTTAACATTACATACATTATTTAATATACTGTTTCTTAGCAACAAAGTATAAACTTATTAAAATTTATTATTGATTCATACAACTTCAATAAATTGCTATATTTTTTCAGTTTAGTAAGTTTTTTAAATTGTAGAAACCGAATATGGTTGATATCATATATACTGATAATCTATACTTTTGTGCATGTACACGGTAAAAAATATATTTAAACTAGTGTACACATGCATGCAAACACAAATACTATTACTGAAAAGCTTAAATTTTTTAACATTGCTTTCATATCTATATTAATAATCTAGTTTTTCAGTAGTAATATTAAGTAATCTGGGCAATTTATGAATATGGATCTGATTGCAATGTTAAAAAGCACATTACTCGATTTTAAACGTTTGTGATAAAATTAAATGCATGCAAAACAAACTCTCGCAAGTAAATTTAAGTATTTTTTCTCATTTGACAAATTTTCTTTAACAGATGTTGCAGATCTTTGTTGATAAGTATTTTATCTTCTTGATAAGGTACTATTTTCACATATTTCAGTATATATGTTGTTATTTTACTTTTTCTTTTTTCCACATTGTAACCCAGTGCAGCAGAAGTTTACTTAATGATATTTACAATTGGTGTTTGGTTGTGTAATGGTGTGAAAACCGGAGGCATTATTTTAGTCTGTACAGTTGGTTATAGTGCAGATTAAATAATTTTTAAAAGTATATAATTAACGTGTGTATAAAACTATACACATTTCTGTACTTTAAACTTTCTGTTTTGCAAAAAAATATTAAAAATGTTTGCACAGACTTGCTTAATATTTAATTGAAAGAGAAGTCAGCAAATTAAACACTTTTTGTAATAAGAAACATCATAATCAGACACGTTATCTCTCAATAATAAGAGATAATGTATCTGGTTGCACCTCCAATTTTCTGTTTTTGTTTTCTTATAAGTATTGTTCAGGAGACTACAGCCAAGTTTATCATTTATTTTATTACTAGCTTACCCATCGCGTATTGCTGCAATCTCAGAAGAAATGAAATTCAAGCAAACTCGTTACGATAAAATTAAATTTACATTTTATCATTTTTATTGAAACTTATTATTATTATATTATTATTATTATTCATTTTCATTGGGAAAACATTTCAAAGTGTCGTTTCAGTTCTATTTATTCATTGGAGTGCTTGTGGATACATGATATTTTTTGTTTTTTCGTCTGGTGCATACACGAATAAATCAGAAGGTTTTCTGACGCGTGAGCTGACCACATACAGTTGTACATGTGAGAAGCATGGATTCTTTAAATTTAGCCCACATACTCGCGGAGATTGTCAGAAGTGCGATATTCCTCATTTTTATATATTTTTCTTAATCCTTTATAATTTTGATTATTTAATTGCTCCTTCCTCTCTTCCTTGGCATGTTGTGAAATTTCTGATAGTTGGATAATAAACCGTTTTATTGTAATTTGTCTTTTTAAATTATTTTGAGTTGATATTAAAATTTGGGAAAGGGGATCCCTAAATTGGTAAAATAGGCAAATTTCCTTCTACAACTTCGGTTGTTGTTCGGGATACAGTTAAGGTTTTAACAAAGTTCAAGCGAATACATAATTAGCAAAAAAAAGTTGAAATAAAGTGATTAAACAAAAATTATTACAAATATCGTAAATAACAGTTCACAAATGCATATATAGAGATATTTTTTGAAGGGGGAAATGGTCTTCACAATTTGAAATCGATCGAACACACTGTGCTCGAATGCTCGTGTAAACGCGCGCCATCTATCGTAGGATAAATGTACTTCGCGGGAGTGTATTAAAAAATTAAAAAAACTTTCCAAAGTTTTATGGCAATCGTACTATGCCACAAACCTTCGCCGGAGTATATTAAACAACTTCCCAAAGTTTCACGGCAATCGGATAAACGGTGTGGTAATGCATGAGGAACAGACAGACAGACACACACACACACACACACACACACACACACACATTCATTTTTATATATATAGATAACCATAACTATGCCTCTTGCATGGAGCTGTAGCTAGCACATAAGTTAAAGCAGATAAGCAGCTCAAGTCATATGATTCTACTTAATTGGTAACAAACTAAAAAAATAAATAAAATCAAAATGTTTCCTGTTTTATAAAATATTAATTTTTTTTAATTGCTGTTTTATAAAAATGTCAAATAAATCAGAAAATGCACATTTAAAATCATTGGAAGGTGTTTAAAACAGAATTATCCAAACTGGTAAAACTTGACAACTTTTAATAAAGCCTGCATATGTGCACACATGCATGCACACAATGATGATTCAAACTAATATCAATTCAATTCTGACATTTTTAAAAAAAATTTTAGATACTCTTAGAGCTTTCATGTTATATCTATAATCAAGAAATCAACAAAACAAAATTAAAAATTAGGTTTCTAAATTTTTAAATTTTTTTTATAATTTTTTTTTTTACTTAAAAGAAATTTTCTTCTGTTAGTAAAGATTTTCATTCATAAAACTTTAAAATCTTTATAAAACTTCAAAATTATTTTGAATATTTAAATTTATAATTTTATAATTTATTATAATGTTATAATTTTATTGATGATTAGAACAAAAGTTGCAACATTGGAAAGTAGATTTAAAGTTATCTGTCATACAACATGGCATGCCTACATCACTTCAAGATTTGGGAAAATCCCCTGTATAACACTTAAAAATGTGATGTTTTGTATGGAGATGTCTCCAATTCTTTAACACAGTTTGAGAATTGGAGACACCTTCATACAAAATTTCACAATTTTTAAGTTCAAACACTCTCATTCAATATTTTTAAATTCCAGCAAGCATGCATGTTGCCTCTTATTTGAAAATTTCAGTATTATAAAATCCATGGGCAGTAATGTTGTTTTGTGCCTATTGGCAGGTTTTCTTTAATGAGAACTGATCATATGCTATTTCTTCTTCTCTGTTCTAGCTTTCTTATAAACCAGATGTTGCTGCTATTGGTGATAGTCTTTCCAGTTCATTTAGAATACTGTCATTGTGTTTTGTTTTTATAGATTAAAAGTTATTACATAAAAAGATTAAAGTTTTAAAAATCTCTTAGGCAAACCACAAACAAATGAAAATATCACATTTTATGGAAAAAAGCAGAGAAAAATGAAGATGTTGATACTTCTGATTAAGGTCAACAGGAAAGCGCAGATGATGATGATTTGCCAAAAAGAAAAATCTTCATTTAACTTAACAGTGTTTAATAGTGAAGATAAAATTAAGATGCAATACTTTTGTTATTGTTAGTTGATTGCTTTAGTAAAAATATTTCTCTTAACTATGAAAAAGAATAGTTTGCTTGCTAACTTTTCGAACCTAACCTTTTGTTTTGTACTAGCTCTTTGTTTCGTATAGCATGGATTTGCATAATGTGATGCTTTTTTGGAACTTCACTACCACTCTGTATGGGGATATTTATGTTTCGTATTAAAAGTAGACTTCTTTCTGAATATGAAACACTAAAGACAAAATTTGTTCCTCAATTTTTCAAATATGTTCTCTTCAATTTTTAACTCTGTTATTTTACTCAAAAATCAATAGATGAAAGTATGCATAAAATGATGTATAGATATTATCTATCCTCATTGGATAGTTAAAAGATTATAGAAATTTATTAACAGTTAGTTGCAATTATCATATTACCCCA